GGAGAGAGAGAGAGAAAATGGAATAGCACCTCCCCAGGGGGAGGACCACACTACAGTCCCTGCTCCACTTTCCTCTTGGGATTTTAGGCACCCATGCACATGCACCCAGCATATTTCTCAAGCTGCCGGGCTCCGGGTCTCAAACCAGTCAACCACATGGGGTTCAGCCGCCTTAATCACCATGACACCTTCTGCTCTGTCTTTTTTTTTTTTTTTTTTTTTTTTTTTTTTTATTTTTTTTTTTTTTTTTTTTGTCTTTTAGATTATTTCACAAGGTCCAATTCTCTTGCCTTACCCTTCTGAATAGCCGGGCACACATTGTATTTTGATCATTAGCTCTACTGTCTCATTGACAACTGTCTAGAATCTTATATAATTATTCCTTATGTCCCTAATAAGATTAAACCTTCAATTTTGCCCCAGCTGAAATATTAAGGACCTAATAAATTGTCTGTAAATATTTGTGAACAAAAGAAATGAATAAAAGTCTAATTTTCTACCAAAAGTTCTGTTTATAAAATTCTCTCTGCAGACAACTTTGTGAGACACGCGTTTCCAAAACACAGAGTGGCCTACACTGAAGTAGACGTCACCACTAACCCAGACACTTGGAGTGGTGGTTGATTTTTACTCTCCCTTCACTCCCCAGCTCACTTTGTTGTTTGTTTTTTATGCGTTTTTTGTTTGTTTTGTTGTTTGTTTTTGGTCATAGGGTGCATGTGCTTGCCAGAGAGGGACAGTGAGAGGAAAACTAAGAAATCACCTCCAGAGGGGGATGGCCAAGCCACAAGCCCTTCTTTATTTTCCTCTTGGGATTCTGAGCACACATGTACACACATGGGGGTTTTTTTCTTCCAAGCTTTTGGGTCCAGGACTTGAACCATGGTCTGCCACATGGGATTTCAGTGCCTCAACCACCATGCCACCTGCTGGCGACCCCCCCCCAACTTACTCTTACTCCCACCAACGCTGCTTCCTCCACATCTCTTCCCTGTGGCTTATCCTCCTTACCTACTGCTGCCCTATCTAAGCTCTCGGCACTTCTCGCCTGTTCCACTGCAGTAACTTCCTGAACACGCGTTCGCCTGTTCTCCCCTTCAACCTTTTCATGCTGCTAGATAGAATTTTCTAAAATAACAAGCTCGTCTTGTCACACTCTCCCCTCCGTCCTCCTCCTCCCTTCCCCCCATGACTCCTGCTTGCCAACAGGAGAGAATATGAAGTTGGTCACCACGTGGTCTCCTCTTTCTGCTTCAACAGCAACTCTCGATATTCCCCACATACACATACCTCCTGTGCAACAGCCACACTAAACCACCTGTGGTTCTTCAGAGTCTATAAGCTTTTCCTCGCCTAGACTACCCTCCCTACTGTCTGCTTAACTAACCCACTGGCACCCTTTAAGACACAGCTTAGGGCCAGCCAAGTCTATCAATGTTAAGTCTATTGTGTCCTTAGTGTTATGACTATGATTTAGTATTTATTAGGAGTTTACAATGGGTGAGACACAGTTGAGGTTTTATTGTGTTCTTTCATTCTGTTTTTTTTGTTTGTTTGTTTGTTTGTTTTAAGATCTTGGAAAAGGCGCGACGGAAATGCACTGTTCGAGAGAAGCTGGATCCCACATGGTGTCTCTGGTTGGAATCCCTGGCCAGTCAGCCTGAAACATGCCAGGCATGTGCTCGAGAGGACCAAGATCTGATGGGACTGGAGAAAGGGGATGGCAGCACGGCCAGACCCTGTGGAAGGCGCTCATCGCTCTCATTCTCGTGTACCCACACATGCTCACTATCATCAATAAAAACAAACAAATAAAACAGGGATTTGGGGTTTTTTAAGAATTATGTATTTTGTTTTTATTATTATTATTATTTCATTTGGCCAGAGAAAGACAGAAAGTGAGAAAGCAAGCCACCAGGTCTGGGACCCAAACCATGGCCGATCATGTGGGAGTCCAGCACCTCAACCACCATGCCACCTGCTAGCACCAAAAGAAAAAAAGTTTTTGTTTTTGTTTTGTTTTGTTTTGTTTTTTGTAGAGGTTTTTGCTATAGAGCACATGCGTTTGCCACACGGACAGAGAGACAGAGAGACAGAAAGTGAGGAAGTGAGAAATCACCCCCCGGGGGGATGGCCACGCCGCAATCCCTTCTCCTTCATTCTCCTCCCGGGATCTTGGGCATGCACGCACACGCGCCCGGCGTGAGTTTTAAGCCACCAGGTCCAGGACGCGAACCGCGGTCGACTACGTGGGAGTCCAGCGACATAGCCATTATGCTAACTGCTGGTCCCAGAAAAAAAATTTTAATTGGGGAAAAAAAAAAAAGGGACACAATGCAACCGTCACCTTCTCCCTGAAGCTTTTCCTGACCTCAACCCTCCCTCAAAGTACCAAGAACCCAGAGGCTACCCTTACTCCCCAAATACCATGCACGCTCAGCGTAGCACTGTTCTCAGTTGTTGGCCGTCCATCTCCTCCTCCTTGAAGACAAGGATCGCATCTGATTTGTCTTTGTGTCTCCAGGGCCCGACTCAGATCTCGGTGGACCCGGGGCATGGCGAAGAATTACCTTGGCCTGAGAAAATGAGATGCAATGACAGGAAAGTGGTAGTTCGAATAGGGCAAACTAGGCACATGGAAGAAGCCAGGAAAGGCCTGAATGGGGACAACTAAGGGACATCTTAGAGGTCCTGGCTGAGACAAGAGTGAGTCCTGCCTAAACCAGGGAAGGACCCAAAGCAGAAGACTAATTTAGGCAAGCCCATCTGCCTGTCACAGAGTCCCTCCACCTATGGCAACCAATCCCATTGTCCAAACTCCTCCGGAACAGCAAGGACAGTAAGAGGCTCCTGGGGATTTGGAACCCTTAGAAGATGTTGATCAAGGAGACACAGAGTAGATGTTGTAGCAGCCAGAAGGAGAATATGCAAATCAGTTGATTAACAAATCCTAAAGGACCAAAGCAGAAAGGAAAAAGCTCTTGGAAGAAAATCTCACTGTATTTTTAAACAGGTCAAGGGAAAATATCCTTTGAATTAGGCAGTTAGGAATGAGGTGGGGAGGAGTGAAAGAGCTTAAACTCAGTTTCACTCATCGTGCCCCATGCTCCTGAGCAGGCTCACAAGAAATCTGACGGAGGAAAAGACGAAAACTCATGGCCAAAGCAAACCCCAGGGGATGTCGGTCAACCATCATTAGCATGGAAAAGCGAGAGCTGATGCCTCTGCGCAGTCACAGCAAAGCCATGCACTGTCTCGGATCATTTCTCTACGGCAGGTGGACAGTCCAGGCAGCTGCGAAGATCTGTTTTTGAATTGAGCGAGGAGAAAATGTCACGACCTCGCAGTAATGACAGAGAAACAAAGGAAAATGATCTCTCTCGGCTATTTTGAAAGGGCTAAGGGTGCCCTTTGGCTCCATCTAGTTCCAGAAATGATACACTCATGATAACTGCTAAGCAGCCCCAAACAAAGAAGCCTTATTTTCCATTCTTCGTCTTCCCTTACTTCAATCTGCAGAGGCAAAAATAGGATGCTGTTATAATGCTGGTCATCAGAGGAAAGAGAATGCCTTAGGCAAGGGCATCAGTGGGAAAATATATTACATTTAGATGATCACAGTCAGCAGTTCATGCAGCATAGACAGAAATAAAATGATTTAACAACTGGCAAATGGGCCTACCCTTTGTTTTGTTTTTCTTTTTTTTTAAGTGTTTTTTTAAAGAATTATTTTAATTTAACTTTTTTTTCATTTATTTTAATTTAACCACAGAGGTACAGAGAGAGAAAGAGAGAGAGAGAGAAAGCCGCCAGATCTGGATCTCAAACTGCGGTCAGCCAAGTAGGAGTCCAACATCCTTTACCACTACGCCACCTGCCGGCCCCGTTTTTTCCTTTAAAACAAGGTGTCACTCTGTTGTGACCCTCATGTCACAGCCTCCCAGCTGAGGTTACAGATGCACACCCCCACGCCCAGCTCTGTTTCAGACGGGGTCTTGCCGTGCTGCTTAGGCAAGCCTTAGGCTCACGATTCTCCTGCCTCGGCTTTCTTGAGTCGCTGGGATTACAGGCATTCAGCCTTTGGTTGGACCAGGAATTGAACCCATGTGATCCCTATCTGTCAGCACAGTGTCTTACAGCATGCTTCAGCCAGATGGACCAGGCCTGACCACTTTCATGCAACTAATGAATGACTCTTCGTTGAGCCAGAATATCCCACATCATTTGTTCTCATTTGAATTAGGAGCACTCTACACAGGTTGAAAGTCTCACAGATTTTTGAGGATAATGACTATGGTAACTGGATTACTGTAGAAATCTCCCAATTGGGACCAGCAGATGGCATAATGGTTAGATCACTGGAGTCCCACATAGTTGACTGAAGTTCAAGTCCCAGACCTGGTGGTTTAAAACTCACAGCGGGTGTGTGTGCGTGCATGTGTGCCCAAAATCCCAGGAGGAGAATGGAAGAGAAGGGATTGCAGTGTGGCCATCCCCCCAGGGGTAACTTCTCACTTTCTGTCTTGCTGTCTCTCTGTTTCTCCGGTGACTGCATGTGCCCTATAGCAAAAATCTTTCAAAAAAAAAAAAATCTCCCAATTAACACTTTATATAGTAAAAAGCAAAACTGTGAAAAGCTTTTGTAAATTCTTAGGTTCATAAAACTGCCCCTAGACATGCAGAATTACGAGTAAGTTGTGAAGGCTGACACACACATTGTTTTAGTTTCTATAACCATAAAAATAATTCAGGAAGATTTGAGTGAAGGTTTAACTTTAAAGTCTTCACATAAAGACTTTAGACAAGTTCTTTACAGTCTTGAAAAGTTTGACAAATTCCATTAACTAAGCTAACACAGAACTAACAGGAGTCCACTGAAATAATGTACTCCAAACCATTTCTGAACAACAGCATGCTATTATACCTAGACAGCACCACTGCTTTTAGCAGCATAGCTTTAAAAGCTCTTCTGGAATATCGGCTTTAAAGAAGAAATAGAGATCCCTTTGTGGTTCACAAGCACGGTGATTGGGCGATCAGATGATTGTGTGAGATGCGCCTCCTTTAACCCTTGTTATGAGATCAGCAGAGTACCCATGATTGAGGAAGAGGAGAAGGAAAAAGGAGGAGAGGAGAGGAGGGGAGGGAAGCAGAGGGGAGGGGAGGGG